ACGAGGCGGGCAGCCTACTCCATGAGCAGAAATCTTAAAGCCCGTGCAACGAGGGGCGGGGGCGAGGCGCACTGCCGACGACCCCGCACCGCGCGGGTCGTAGAAGCCTGGCGAGCTCCTGGGCGGCAAACCTCGCGCGCCACTCAGGCCAGTGGCATGCGAGCGCCGCCTCACAGGAGCCCCCCACTTCTCGGGGCGGGGAAGGCACAGCCAGAAGCTCCCAAGCCCAAATCATCACGGTGAACCGCAGTCCTCTGCCTGTTCTCTAGGTGGCGAATCAGCCACCATCCAGCACGCAGAGTTGAATATGGGTAGTCCACGAGCCAACGCTCAGATAGACATACCTATCACATATCGTGCAGTGAGTTCGTCTCCCTCATACCTGCGCACATGGAAACATGCTGATTCCCGGGCTAAAGGCACTGCGTCCGAAGGCGCTTGACCTTGGCCCCCAGGAGCGCGTCCAGGATCGCACGCTTGTCGCCCTCGTGTTTCTCCCAGAACTGATCAGCGGCCCCCTGACTCTCGGAACAATCATCGAACTCCGCGTCCACGACATGCTGTCCGATGTGATCGGGCTGCTCCGCACCTGCTCGCCCCGCACTGTCAGCAGCGCCAGCACCCTCAGGAGGTGGGCCAGGCGCAGGGGGCTTCGCGTGCGCGCGAAACAATGTTGCGAACTCCTTGGACGCCGCCGATTCGAACATCTTCCGAGTCTCGCCCTTACCTTGCAGCAGCTCCGTAGGGACGCCAAACCCATCAAGAGCATCACCCCCATCGGCTAAAGAGAGCGACGCCACAAGCTGCCGCTGCAGCTCGGCACACTCAGTCTCCGCGGTGATATTCCTCGCCTTCAGCCCAGCACTATCTTTGCGAAGTTGCTCGATCTGCTTGCCCAGGGCACCGATGTCGTCGGCGATCTTCGGCAGCTTCGCCTTCGTGCGATTGAGGCTGCGTCCCGCATTGTTGCGTTGAGTGAAATCTGGCTTCTTAGACTCGATCTTCGCGCGCGCCTCCTTGAGCTGCCCCTCGAGCAGCTGTCTGGCGGTCGCCATAGTTTCTCCCTTGCACGCGGCAATGGCAGCCTCGAGCTGCGTGGCCTCCGCGCGCAAAGGACCCTCAACCTCCGCGTCTGCCTTGGGCGCGCCGCCCTGCAGCTGCGTGCCCCGCTGCCGCTGGCCAGCGAGCTGCCCCAGCTTCTTGGCCATCTCGGCCAACTGCCGCTCCAGTCGCGCATCGCGCATGGAGCCTGCACCCGGCAAGCGGGGCTTGCTGCCATCACGCACAGTGCCGCCACCAGCACCATCAGCGAAGGAGTGCGCCCGCTTCGCCTTGGTTCCGCATCTGCACCGTAGTCGACACGCCCAGTTCGACGTGAGTCCGCACTGCTGACGCCCCCAGAAGGGCATCTTGGGCCCGCGGACCACGTCGCCATCCATGGATGCCTCAGTCGAGGCGAGCACTCGTGGGCTAGTGTTGCCAGAAGAAACTGCGGGGTTTGAGATACCCAATAACTGCAAAGCCACAGTGGCACGCCACAGCGACTGCGCGATGACAAGAATAAGCAGCATCCAAACCAAATGGCGACCATCCCGTAAGCCGTCGCCTCTTGAAAGTGCCAGCACGCAAAAAAATATGTTGGAACCTTTCCTAGAAATTCTCCACGACGGCAAAGTGACCAGAGCGGAAGGTGCGATGATCCTGTGCGAAAGCACGTCCTGCCAACGAAGTCTAAACGAAAATGTAATCGATCTGAGTTTCAGCACTCCGAGCTTTGCGGGGAGGGATGCGAGTCTGTAGAGGGACGCGTCAGTCGGCCCATGTGTTCCCAGCCTTCAAACGATAATCTGGCATAAAACCAACAAGCTGAGAATGTCTGTCCCAGTAGTCGCTGCAAGACGGACGCCCGAGAGCAGCAAGACCGGTCAAACGGCGAAGCTCGGGTTGAAGCTATATCTTTAAATCGGCACACATAACAAATATCATAGCACCACGCTGCCGAGATACATCACAAGACTCGCGAAGAAGAGAAAGAGCAGAGAGATAAAGATGCAGAGGTTCGCATGTATCAGGAACGTATGAAGAAATAGTGCCGATACTGCTGAGAAGGACGAGATATCGCACGCATCGCGAGCCAGTCCACCGTAGACGGCCCCCGAGCCCAGAAGGCACCAAAAAATCGCACAGGGACTGCCCGCCGCTCGTTGCGCCAACCAGCCCTCCAAGTCAAATCCGTCGTCCGCGTCGGACGGCCAGGAGGACACCTCTTGCACGCAGCGAAGACCACTCCCCACCACACGCACGTCCTCGATGACCTCAGCCACGCTCTTGAACGATACCCTATTCCAGTTGCAGCTGATAACATGGAGAGCGACCCCAAAATGTTCCAAATCAACATGACCATCAACCCGCGATCACCGCCGCAGCCGGCGTCACGGGCCACGGCTGGAAGGAAGCAGCCATGACCTTGAGCCTGGCAGCATTCGTGTTGGGGTAGCCAAGGACACGAAGGCCCTTTGGATCCAACTCGATAGCGCCATCATCCTCGACATGTGCGATGAAGGCGACGGAGGCCTGGCCCTGCTGACCCATCGAAGTGCTCTGGGGCCCCAAGTAGACACACATGTTCGGGCCCCAGAGAACGCGCTGCTTGTAGTTCGGAAAATTGGTAGCGACCTCTTCTCCAACATGCGCTTGATTTTCCCCATCGCGTCGTACTGCAACTTCTGTTTGGGGCTCTCCTCGGTCATGGCGAAAAGCTTCCGGCTCTTCCATGTATTTCCTTCCGTGCGCAGCTGCGCCTTCCATAACGAGAGCACCGCGTCGATTGACTGGCTGACGCGTAGACCTTGACAGGAAAATGTCGGCCGTCCACCCTGGTCTCCACCTCACCTACGTGCTGACGAAGATCCTCGGGGGTAACTCCTTTCAGCTTGGTCACGAGAACTCTAGCCTCGTCCGGAGTAATCCCAGGCCGCTGCGCTCTCGAACGTATCGACAAAGCCCTAAATCTCAAGGAACGCCAGAACGAAGGGCGCCGAGGGGGCTGACGTAGCCCGAACTGCGGTCGACTTCTCCAAACGCTCCAGGCGATCAATGAGGGGCTGCAGGCGGCTGGCGATCTTTGACTCCACGAGCGACTCGAGCTGCTCATCAAGCATCTCCTGGAATACCTCCTTCTGCTTAGTGGCCTGCTTCTCCGCGTACCTATCAAGGACGTCTTCCAATGAAACCTAATCACAAGAGCTCGTGTCAGTGAAGGCCATGCGCTTAAGAGCCATGCTGTGGAAGAGTAATCAACAAGTGATCGAGCAAGTGCAATACCTGTTGGAATGCAGTCCTTGATGCGGTTCCTCCTCCTCCTCCTACTCCTCCTCCTCCTCCTCCTCCTCCTCCTCTTCCCCCTCCTCCTCCTCCTCCTCCTCCTCCTCCTCCTCCTCCTCCTCCTCCTCCCCCTTTCTCCTCCTCCTCCTCCTCCTCCTCCTCCTCCTCCTCCTCCTCCGTCTCGCAATTCGGGGGGACGCATGCCGTGGCGAGGCCGCAGAGGGACGCCGGAAAGGTCCAGCACGTCTACAGCCGTCGAGCCTAGATACCCGAACCTCGATGCCCACAAACCCGCTCAAATCCCACCAGACCTCTGGGCGTCGGTGGTTTAGAGAGTTTCCTCTTCCACCCCTCCTTCCCCTTCGGGGAAGGGTTTATCACTGTTCCCTACTAATATACACCCCCTCCCCCAGGCGACTGGGAGCCAACCAGGGTCAATGCGGGCCCCCCCCCACCATCCCTTGCAAAAAACAATACAAAACACACTCTGCCTCCAAATTCGGAGCATGCGCAGCGAACCCGATCTGTCAAAAACAATACAGAGTACACTTGGCGGCGGCGGCGACTGCGGCGGCTGCGGCGGGGGCAGAGGCTGCGGCGGCTGCGGCAGTGGCGGCGGCGGTGGCGGCGGCGGCGGCGGGGGCGGCGGCGGCGGCGGTGGCGGCGGCGGCGGCGGCAGCGGTGGTGGCAGCGGCTGCGGCGGCAACGGCTGCGGCGGAGGCGATTCGGCAGCGGGGGCGACGGCGGCGGCGGCGGCGGCGGCTGGTGGGGATTCGCGAAGCGTCAACAATTCAAAATATCAAAGAAACGAATAAGAAGAAGAAGAAGAAGAAGAAGAAGAAGAAGACGAAGAAGAAGAATACTGATACCAAATAATCAGAAAAACAGTTCAACAAATAGAACGCCATAATCAGAAATTTTCGGCGCTCCGCGCGAATTTCTTAGATCTGCGCTGGGCCCCCCGCCATCGCTGGCGCGCTCCGCGCGCCGGGGAGGGGGCCTGTCGCAGATCCCAGAAATCCGCGCGGAGCGCCAAAAGTTTATTCTTATGCCGTTTGCTCCTGTAAATGAAAACCCCTGGACACCTTTTTCCGAGCTGAGTCTAGCTGTGGCAACGAGGAACGAAACCCCCGGAAACGAAAACGCCTACGTCTGCCCAGACTACGGCGGACTCGTGTCACGACGATCCCGGCACTGGCTTCTGATACCACGTGGATCGTACAGCCTCAAGCGATCAGTGGCTCCTCGATCGCCGAATTTCTCCTGCTTGGCCGATCCTGCACATTTTTAGTCGCAGCGGCGAGGATCCACGCCGCGCTCGAATGCAGCTGACAGACACTACGGGTCCTTATTTGGCACAACAAGCAAGGGAGAAGAGCGGGCGCGCGGAAGGGGAACGGAGCACGCTCACGGCACGAAATTTTTGAACACGTGTGCCGCAGCACGAGCGTGCAAATGAAGGGAGACGTAGAATTCCGTGGTGAGTAGGACTCGAATCCAGGGGCCGCGACCTCAGGTGCTACCAGGAGGTGCACAGCAACAGATGACGCAATTCCATCACAGCCCTTGGGCCGATTCGGGAACACTAGCGGAGTTCAAGCTCGACCGCCCGCGGCGGGGTCGCCGCCGTGTCGACACGACGCGAGCCTGCCGTACCCCGCGCCCTGCTCCCGAGCCTCCAGTCTCCGACGAAGCGCTCGAGGACATTCTTCTGCGGCACGCCGCACACCGCGTCGCAGGACCTGCCGCGGCACGCAGCGACGGGACCGCGGCTGCATAGGGAAAAAATGGCATGAATCTAAGAGGTCTGTCGTCGTCGTCGTCAAAGCCGTCGTCGCCGTCGTAGTCGTCGTCGCCGTCGTCGTCGTCGTCGCCATCGTCGTCGTCGTCGTGGCGGTCACCGTCAGCGTCGTCGCCGCCGCCGCCGCAGCCACCGCCGCAGCCGCCGTCGTCGTCGTCGTCGTCGTCGTCGTCGTCGTCGTCGCCGTAGTCGTCGTCGTCGTCGCCGTCGTCGCTGTCGCCATCGTCGTCGTCGTCGTCGTCGTCTTCGTCGCCGTCGTCGTCGCCGTCGTCGTCGTCGTCGCCGAGGTCGTCGTCGTCGTCGCCATCATCGTCGTCGTCGTCGCCGTCGTCTGCGTTGCCGCCGCAATCGTCGTCGTCGTCGCCGCCATCGTCGTCGTCGTCGCCGTCGTCGTCGTCGTCGCCATCGACGTCGTCGCCTCCGTCGTCGTCGCCGTCGCCGTTGCCGTCGCCATCGTCGCCGTCGCCGTCGTCGTCGTCGTCGTCGTCGTCGTCGCCGTCGTCGTCGCCGTCGTCGTCGTCGTCGAGGTCGTCGTCGCCGTCGCCATCATCGTCGTCGTCGTCGCCGTCGTCGTCGTTGCCGCCGCAATCGTCGTCGTCGTCGCCGCCATCGTCGTCGTCGTCGTCGCCGTCGTCGTCGTCGCCATCGACGTCGTCGCCTCCGTCGTCGTCGCCGTCGCCGTTGCCGTCGCCGTCGTAGCGTCGTCGTCGTCGTCGTCGCTTCGTCGCCGTCGTCGTCGTCGTCGTCGTCGGCGTCGTCCGTCGGCGTCGTCGGTCGTCGTCGTCGTCGTCTTCATCGTCGCCGTCGTCGTCGTCGGTCGTCGTCGTCGTCGTCGTCGCCATCGTCGTCGTCGTGGCGGTCACCGTCAGCGTCGTCGCCGCCGCCGCCGCAGCCACCGCCGCAGCCGCCGTCGTCGTCGTCGTCGTCGTAGTCGTCGTCGTCGTAGTCGTCGTCGTCGTCGCCGTCGTCGCTGTCGCCGTCGTCGTCGTCGTCGTCGTCTTCGTCCCCGTCGTCGTCGCCGTCGTCGTCGTCGTCGCCGAGGTCGTCGTCGTCGTCGCCATCATTGTCGTCGTCGTCGCCGTCGTCTGTGTTGCCGCAGCAATCGTCGTCGTCGTCGCCGCCATCGTCGTCGTCGTCGTCGTCGCCGTCGTCGTCGTCGTCGTCGCCATGGACGTCGTCGCCTCCGTCGTCGTCGCCGTCGCCGTTGCCGTCGCCGTCGTCGCCGTCGCCGTCGTCGTCGTCGTCGTTTTCGTCGCCGTCGTCGTCGCCGTCGTCCGTCGCAATCATCGTCGTCGTCGTTGCCGTCGTCGTCGTTGCCGCCGAAATCGTCGTCGTCGTCGCCGCCATCGTCGTCGTCGTCGTCGTCGCCGTCGTCGTCGTCGCCATCGACGTCATCGCCTCCGTCGTCGTCGCCGTCGCCGTTGCCGTCGCCGTCGTCGCCGCCGTCGCCGTCGTCGTCGTCGTCGTCGGCTTCGTCGCCATCGTCGTCGTCGTCGTCGGCGTCGTCCGTCGGCGTCGTCGGTCGTCGTCGTCGTCGTCGTCCGTCGCGTCGTCGTCGTCGGTCGTCGTCGTCGTGGTCGTCGTCGTGGTCGTGGTCGTGGTCGCGGTCGTGGACGTGGTCGTGGTCGTGGTCGTGGTCGTGGTCGTCGTCGTCGCCGTCGCCGTCGCCATCGCCATCGTCGTCGTCGCCGTCGTCGCCGTCCCCGTCGTCGTCGTCGTCATCGTCGTCGCCGTCGACGTCGTCGCCGTCGTCGCCGCCGCCGCCGCCGCCGTCGCCGCCGTCGTCGTCGTCGTCGGTCGTCGTCGTCGTCGTCATCGTCGTCGTCGTCCTCGTCGTCGTGGTCGTGGTCGTGGTCGTGGTCGTGGTCGTGGTCGTGGTCGCGGTCGTCGTCGTCGCCGTCGTCGCCATCGCCGTCGTCGTCGTCGTCGTCGCCGTCGTCGCCGCCCCCGTCGTCGTCGTAGTCGTCGTCGCCGTCGACGTCGTCGCCGCCGTCGCCGCCGCCGCCGCCGTCGCCGCCGTCGTCGTCGTCGTCGTCGTCGTCGTCGTCGTCGTCGTGGTCGTCGTTGTCGTCGTCGTCCTCGTGGTCGTGGTCGTAGTCGTGGTCGTGGTCGTGGTCGTGGTCGTGGTCGTGGTCGTGGTCGTGGTCGTCGCCGTCGTCGTCGCCATCGTCGTGGTCGTCGTCGTCGTCGGTGTCGTCATCGTCGTCGCCGTCGTCGTCGTCGTCGTCGTCGTCGTCGCCATCGCCGTCGTCGTCGTGGTCGCCGTCGTCGTCGTCGTCGTCGTCGTCACCGTCGTCGCCAAACGCCGTCGTCGTCGCCGCCGTCGTCCGTCGTCTTTGTCGTCGTCACCCGTCGTCGTCGCGTCGTCGGTTCGCCGACGTCGTCGCGTCGTCGTCCGTCGTCGTCGTCGTCGTCGTCGCCGTCGTCGTCGCCGTCGCCGTCGTCGTCGTCGTCGTCGTCGCAGTCGTCGCCGTCGTCGTCGTCGCTGCAGTCGCCGTCGTCGTCGTCGATCGTCGTTGTCGTCGTCCTCGTCGCCGTCGTCGTCGTCGTCGTCGCCGTCGCCGTCGCCGCCGACGTCGCCGTCGTCGTCGACGTCGTCGCCGTCGTCGCCGTCGCAGTCGCCGTCGTCGTTGTCGTCGTCGCCGTCGTCGTCGGCGTCGTCTTCGCCGTCGTCGTCGTCGTCGTCGTCGTCTGTCGCCGTCGCCGTCGCCGCGGCCGTCGTCGTCGTCGTCGTCGCCGTCGCCGCCACCGCGTCGTCGTCGTCGTCGTCCTCGTCCGGCGTCGTCGCCGTCGTCGTCGTCGGCGATTTCGTGTCGTCGCCGTCCGTAGTCGTCGTCGGCGTCCTCCATCGTCGCCGCCGTCGTCGACGTCGTCCTCGCCGCCGTCGTCGTCGTCGCCGTCGTCGTCGTCGTCTCCGTCGTCGTCGTCGTCGTTGTCGTCGCCGTCGTCGTGGGCGTCGTCGCCGCCGTCGTCATCGCCCGTCGGGCCGTCACCGTCGCCGTCACGTCGTCATCGTCGTCGCCGTCGTCGCCGTCGTCGTCGTCATCGTCGCCGTCGTCGTCGTCGCCATCGACGTCGTCGTCGCCGCGTCGTCGCGCCGTCGCCGTCGCCGCCGTCGCCGCCGTCGTTGTCGTCGTCGTCGACGTCGTCACCATCGTCGTCGCCGTCGTCGCCGTCGTCGTCGTCTTTGTCGCCGTCGTCGTCGTCGTCGTCGCCGCGTCGTCGTCGCCGTCGCCGTCGCCGCCGTCGCCGCCGTCGTTATCGTCGTCGTCGACGTCGTCACCATCGTCCGTCGTCGTCGTCGCCGTCGTCGTCGTCGTCGTCGCCGCCGTCGTCGTCGCCGTCGCCGTCGCCGCCGTCGCCGCCGTCGTTGTCGTCGTCGTCGACGTCGTCACCATCGTCGTCGTCGTCGCCGCCGCCGCCGCCGCAGCCACCGCCGCAGCCGCCGTCGTCGCCGTCGTCGCCGTCGTCGTCGTCACCGTCGTCGTCGTCGTCGCCGTCGCCATCTGTCGTCAGTCGCCGTCGTCGTCGTTGTCTTTGTCGTCGTCGTCGCCGCCGTCGCCGCCGTCGTCGACGTCGTCCTCGCCGCCGTCGTCGTCGTCGTCGCCGTCGTCGTCGTCGTCTCCGTCGTCGTCGTCGTCGTTGTCGTCGCCGTCGTCGTGGGCGTCGTCGCCGCCGTCGTCATCGCCGTCCGTCGGCGCCGTCACCGTCGCCGTCACCGTCGCCGTCGCCGCCGTCGTCGCCGCCGTCGTCGTCGTCGTCGCCGTCGCCATCGTCGTCGTCACCGTCGCCGTCGCCACCGTGGTCGCCGTCGTCGTCGTCGTGATCGTCATCGTCATCGTCGCCGTCGTCGTCGCCGTCGCCGTCGTCGTCGTCTGTGTCGTCGTCGCCGTCGTCGTCGTCGTCGTGGTCGCCGTCGTCGCCGCCATCGTCGTCGTCGTCGTCATCGTCGTCGCCGTCATCGTCGCCGTCGTCGTCGTCGTCGCCGTCATCGTCGTCGTCGTCGCCGTCTTCGCCGTCGTCGTCCGTCGTCGTCGCCGTCTTCGTTGTCGTCGTCGTCGTCGCCGTCTTTGTCGCCGCCGTAGTCGTCGTCGTGGTCGTCGTCGTCGCCGTCGCCGTCGTCGCCGCCGTCGTCGCCGTCGTCGTCGTCGCCGTCGCCGTCGCCGTCGCCGCCGTCGCCGCCGTCGTTGTCGTCGTCGTCGTCGACGTCGTCGCCATCGCCGTCGTCGCCGCAGTCGTCGCCGTCGTCGTCGTCGTCGCCGTCGTCGTCGTCGTCGTCGTCGTCGTCGTCCGTCGTCGTCGTCGTCGTCACCGTCGCCGTCGTCGCCGTCGTCGTCGTCGTCGTCGTCGCCGTCATCGTCGTCGTCGTCGCCGCCGTCGCCGTCGTCGTCGCCGTCGCCGTCAGTCGTCGTCGTCGTTGTCGCCGTCGCCGTCGTCGCCGCCGTCGTCGTCGTTGTCGAAGCCCGCGCGGATTTCTCAGATCGGCGCTGGGGCCCCCCCGGCGGCGCCGCCGGCCCTTGCCCCCTGGCGCGCTCCGCGCGCCGGGGCGGGGGCCGATGCGAGGAGTCTGGGCGGACCTCCGACGTGTGCACGCTCACGTCGTTTGAGACGGGAGGGGGCGAGGACAGGTCGGGAGTCTGTGAGAGCTGGCGGTGCTGGAGGATGTTTTTTATTCTATGTTTGTTTTGTTCCTGCATTCTTGGTTCTTGAAACTGTTTCCAACTCGTCGTACGTCCAGTGTATGCCGCTGCGGCTCTGCAAGATTCTTGAAGAACTCGCACAGGAAGGGTGCTACGTACAGGGAGCCAGCTGCGGACAGGTGATGGGGCTCCTCGTACGCCATTACGTTGCTGCCAGGAATGAAGGGCATGCAGAGATTCCCGTCACAGAACAGGTCCGCATACTCGAAGAGTAACAATCTGGAAGTCCTTTGCAATTCTC